TAAGCCAAAAAATTGTTTTAATTAAGTATGGAAAACTCTAATTCAACTTGGGAGCAACAGTGAAACCCCAAAACTGTGGAAGTCTCATAAAAAATGAAACTTTTTCACACAGCCCATGATCACAGACAAGAATCAAAACTCTTACAGAGAAAATAAGAACAGTTTGTCACCAAACATCATGCATCACATCTAGATTTTGAGCCAAAATAACATCTAAAACAACACAGGCCACGGATTCCATGAATATTTTAACTAAACATTAAGAACACTTAAGGCTTTTTTAAACTCGCTTCATTCTGCCTGTAATGTTCTCCTTCTAATAGTCTTATCTGTGAAACCTGGCTGATAATGAAAAAAAATGTCAACACCCACTGGATTATGCCTTTACTTATGGTTTTAGACTGCACTGTGCCATGATTGCCTATTTTATTGACAACACAATCTTTTCTGCAAATTCAAAGAAACATATGTGTCAATCCTTCAGTTTGCCTTTTTTGCCCTTTAGAATTTATAACCACCTGCCTCCAGTCTGGTATTACCATTTACTTATTTACCTCTAGGACCAAAAAATCATCAGAAACAGGTTGAAATGAAGCCAGATCCAGTCCAGTACATTTGCAGTCATCTGAACAATTGCCTGTTAAAATTCATGGCTTTCCCCAACAAGCAAGAAATGGGCAATCCATCACCTTAGATTGAAATTCTACATTACAATGACTTCTAAAATTTTGTCAGTCATCCACAAGAAGCAGCACTAAGAGCAACACTGCAATACTTCATGTGTAAGGGAGGAGACAGGAAAAGAATGTGAGCATTCATAAAATCCCACAGTTCTCAGACCAGACAACAGTTCCACAGCTGCATATGTAAACACGCAAGTCTAAACATACCTTAGTTATATGTACAGCAAATTAGTACACAGAAGCAATTTGCGACATTTTTCAGTAGATTTTCACAAGCATACATGACCAATGACAAGACAGAAGGCATCTGAAAAACCATAGATGATAACCAAGCATCCAAGCTGCAACAGTAAGCAAAATTGAAAAACTGATTAGGCATCGTATCTGCATAATTTACCAGATAAGGCAAAATGCCATTACCAGACTGAGATCCAGAGCAACATGAGGTCTGCATAGGACTGCAGAGATAGCTGTAGAAGCCATTCCTTTCCCCAAAACATCACAAGATAAAAAGATTTCTTCCAGTATCACTGAAATCAGTAACAGTTGAGTAACTGAATGCCTACCAGAGGGAGTGAGCAACACATCAGCAACCAGTCCCAAAGACATGGTCCTGCCTCCCTGGCACTGAGTGAGCTCCAGGTGATCTGGAGAAGATCTCTTGGGTCTTTTGGGTCTTTTGAGTGACCTTACGCCAGGTATACAACATGCCTTGCTTGCAAGCACTTAACACACTGGTGGTAACTGCCACCAGAACTTACAGAAGTAATATAAGAACGAAGTGTTTACTTATTTAGTTCTCTTTTTGATTTTCTAATGCTATTTATCATGTGGAAACAAAAGAGGACTGACTAGGTGGAGATGTTGTCCATGCTACACAGACAACCAGCAAATGCTGTGAAAATGGCAAAACTAAACACCATCATTTCTTACACAGAAGGTTCTACTGGGGTAGATGCAACTTGAAAACTTTTGACATAGTAATTATGTGTGAATTTAAAACTTGGGAGAATCTGACAATTTTCATCATATCTAAATACATTTCAAATGCAGTTAAAAAAAAATTATTGATTGACACTTCTAATACTGCAGCTGGAAAGGATCTTCTAGATAGTGAGCACACTTCAATTTAAACCTCAAGAAAATAAATCACGAAGTTGATGGCATCTAGACTGCAATCAGTCTCAGTACATTATTGAACACTTCTGCCATACAAACAATAAGTAAAGTACCACAGAAATTTGCTAATTTTCTCATCAATTTGTATAAACTAAAGCCTTACGATCAAGAAACCATAGTTGTCTCTACCTACTTCTCAGCAAGAGATTTATTCACAACACACAGTAGCAAAACATCCTATTGCCAAAACATTTACCACATACTGTAATATATATGTATATATATAAACTGTATATGTACATGTTATATGTATTTTTATATACGCATTTATATATAAACTATAATATCATGAAGTAATTCATAACACCTGAAGACATAACATAGGTGTGTTTGCTTATTTTCTAACTTAAAAAAACAAACCTAACAAATTCAACAAGAATATAGGATGAAACTATTCGATTAGCAGAGAAAAATTAGAAAACATCTAATTAACAAAATGCAGAGGCCTGCATGCCAAAAATTTCTCTTAACATTAAAGGGAGCTAAAAAGGTCACATAGCTCATGGGAAGAAAAAGTTCACATACGTAAAAAGCTGAATTCCCCTTCTATTTCAGTTCTACCTATTAGCCTCACAGAAAGTTCTGGAAATGAAATAAACCAGCATCATGAGTCGTTTTGTTTTGAAACTAAGTCTTGTCCTTTAAAATACAGAAAAATATCTGCAAAGATACTGAAAGAGCTATGCACTGGATCTTTCAGATACCTTCCAGAACACATTTCATCAAAATGGTCATTCCTCTTTATCTGGGATTCTCTGCTCTGTGTCTAGGAAAAGCCTGTGTTGTCATCTTTATTAAAAACCTATACCCTGTATTGGCTCATTTTGGAAAAGGTAAATTAAGAGGAAAGAGCATCTAAAAGATAGAGGAAATAATGTTAAGGAAAGCTTGGTGATATTTGGACTCTGAAAGCTAACATAAATGATTTGTAGGCATGTGCTGACATCCACACAAATCTTAAAAACAATGCATGTTTTTCATATGCAAATTGCACATACTGCAACTTCCAATCTAAATGTTGTATATACTCATCTTTCCTCCTCATTTTCCTTCCCTAGTTGGAAGTACCACCTTCCCTTGTCATGACAAGTATTTCAGTCAAGATATGCCCACAGGATGCACGCATGGGTACACACATATGCACCTACACAGCACCCAGAGGTCAGAGACAAGCCTGTTTTGACTGCAGATGGTTAAGAAATCAGGAGGAAGAACTAATGTCTCATAGGTTTAATTCTGGGTATTTAACATCAAAAGTTTTCAAAGGAAAATCCCAACTCCCTGGTAGCTCATAGAGGTGCCAGCCAAGAATGTTACGAAAGACTGTGCTGGAGTTCCTGATTTGCACTAACTGATGTCACTCCAACAGCACACCAACCTCTCTACACCCAGCACATGAATCTACCTTCTAGTCTATGCAGCTGGAGCTCAGCTAGGTACCATCTCCCATTTCAGGTAAATCAGATCCTAGAGTACACAAGACCTACTCTGCAGCTCACAAGAACCCCTAAACAGGTTGTTTTGTGGGGTTTTTTTGATTGTACCAGACACTAGCACTATTTTTGCCATGAATACACCACCACACCTGGTCCCAGAAGGAAGCTGGACACAAGACTTGGAGCATGATATGTGATCACAAAAGGCACCATTGTCATTAAATGCTGCACTTGTTGGGCCTGCAATAGGTCCCCATCATGGCTGTTCTTTACTGGCAGCTGCTATCAGAGGACGTCATATCCTCCATACAGGCAGTGCAGAAAAGAACACTCAATGGGCAAAGGTGGAAGGAGAAAAGGTATAATTTGTCCTGCTGTTCGTCTTCACTTACAGCTTTTCCAACCCAAATCAGGATGCCCTTGCTCCTCTTACTTCTTGTCTTCCTGCTGCTGGGCACCCCAGCTTCCCACTCCACAAAGGAATTTCCAGAGTCCAGCAGATGCGATATCATGTTAGAAACACCCCATCTCTGCCCCTCATACAGAGGGGAGGAGAAATCTTTTCAACTAGTGGGTGAAACCTTTCCCCCACTGTCCCAGGACCATATACAGTCAACAACTTCATATACAAAACAAAAGGGGATGGCATTATGGGTTACATCATTTTTTCACTATCTCTAGATCCATACATGATAACCGAAAAAGTATGCTGCAATATGCCACAGACTCAAGCTTGATATAACTCTTTTGTATAGCCTTTACAAATGAACTCAGCAGAATTTTATGCGTGAAGACCAGAGCTATTGCTAATCAGTCTCAATTAGCAGACAGTTTTTCTGAAATTTCTTCCTATGGTCCTAGTATTACAGTTCGTATTTTTGAAGGAAAAGAAAGACTTCATTAACCACAAATACCTGAAAAAAAATTCAAGGAGGTAAAATTTCATGTCTACTGAGCTTGGAAGCTATTTACTTCAACAAAGGCACATGCATTCTATATAATTCTTGTGTGCTACCTATAATCAGTATTCTGTTTCCCTGCACTAGAATAAAGAACATCCTTAAAGAATCAAGAGAAAAAACAAACAACTTTACATGAAGTGGTGAAAGGTTTGGAGGAGAAACCATATGAGGAGCAGTTGAGGTCACCTGGTCTGTTCAGCCTGGAGGAGACTGAGGGGAGATCTCATTGTGGTCTTCAAGATCCTCAGAAGGGGAAGTGGAGGAGCAAAAACTGATCTTTTCACTCTTGTGACTAGTGACAAGATTAGAGGAGATGGCATGCAGCGGAGTTGGGGAGGTTTAGGTTAGACATCAGGGAAAGATTTTTCACCCAGAGGGTGGTTGGGTATTGGAACAGGCTCCCCAGAGAACAGTCACAGCACTAAGCCTGTCTGAGTTCAAGAAGTGTTAGGACAATGCCCCCAAGCAGAGGGTGTGATTCTTGGGGTGTCCTGTTCAGAGCCAGGAGTAGGACTCAATGATCCTCGTGGGTTCCTTCAAACTCAGCATATTCTATGATTCTATGAAGTTACCAAAATTATTACAAGCAGAGTGAAAGATGACAGAGTGGTCAATATCTCCACTGAAAACTTTTCTTTTAGAGCACTGTTGTCATTCTGAGAGGTACCTTGTAAAAAAGCATGTTTGTTTTTCCTGGCTCACAATAATTTAGCAGTAGTTTTATGTTAAAAGAATATTACCGCAGTTTGGGACTTTCATATCCAGCAAGGCTGTCCTCTTGTTGTTCTCATCTGTGCAATATAAATCCTGAGTTTCTGTGTAAGACTTGGTCTCTTGAAATTTCTTGATCCACATGATTTCACAGGAACACTTGAATGGATTGTCCACCAATATCCTATAGCAAAAAAATACTAATTTATTTAGAAGAAAAAACATGTCATGCATATAGAAAAAAAAATGAGGGGCACGGGGAGTCCAGGCATTCAGCTGAGTGAAAGTAGAAGTTGAATCCTTTAGTTAAGAAGGTTGAAGTATGCAAGTTGAACCCTCTAGTTAAGAAGCATAAGGTAAGCAACCTTGGTAAACAGCCCAGTGCAAGCTGCGAGTCAGTAACAGTTTCCATGTAGGGAACTAAGCTCTGTGTGCACCAAGGACCCAAACTCTCGCAGGTGGGAGAAATCACACAGGAGATTTGACTACTATTTCCAATTCATCAGGGTAAATCAGGAGCAACTGGAGAACTGGCATTTCTATGAAGGTCCGTTTTTTTCATAGGCAGAGATCAGAATTCCTCTTTTCTACACCTGAGTCTCTCCTCAGTTACCTCAAATATAGTTTATTGCTGTGAGACTGTAAATTCTTTATAGAGTCAAACACTCATGGATTATATACATGCACTAACAAAGTCTAATCATTAAAAATGATTTTACCTAATGTTCTACTATGTACTACAAAACTTTCAGAAAATCTCACAGTAAAACCTTAGGTAATGTCATGAAGAAATACTAACTGAAAACACAGCCCTGAAACAGAAATGGATACGGTACACCGCATAGAATTTACAGGTTAGTGAACTTAACAAATTCTACTTTTAAAATTTAATAAAACTACATAACAATGTGATGCAGTAATGCACAAGTTAAATAGAAACAGAAACATCCCAATGTCTACATAAATAGTTACCCAGTATTATTTTTTTTTCTTTTACAGGCATACATGAGATTCAATAAAGTGGGTGAGTGAGTAACTATTAAAGGCATTTCATTAGAAGGTGAACTTTTTCTTAACAAAGATTCATGGGTATTTTCAACGCACAAAAGCTCAAATTTCTCACGGAATCTATGCTCATAAAAGCCTCCTAAGGACATAAAGTGTGCAAATAATTAAAAAATCAGTTTATCGGAGCCATAACCTGTTCCCCCAAAAGTCATCTCAAATGCTTTGAGGATTAACAAATGTAGGGCTCATCCTCTAAAGTCTTTGAAGGAGCAATTTATAATCACAGAAATCATCTGCTGGACTTCAACACCACAACAGCATGGACAAAAATGGCTTGTGCAAGACACAGTATGAACGTGAAGATTCCTTGGGTCAAAGCCTATGACATGCATTTTCAAAACTGCCAGATTTACTTCCATCTTCTGTTTCATCCTATAGCTTCCCTGTAAAAGAGGAATGTCTCTTGACCAGTGGCTGAGCTGTCTTTTTCTTCCACTCTTTTATTTTGTGCTAAATGCACCACAGGAGGTAGGCATATCATAGGCATGATGCTGGAGGCATAATGGCCCTTTATAGACACTTGTGTGAAAGAAAGAATCTAACCTAGCAAAAGCAAATTATGAGTCTTTATCTTGTTTGCTGTAAATTTACAGGTGCAGTTTGTTTGTTCTAAAAGAAGCCTTCCAAAGTGACACCTCCATCTCTATAATACCTGGTGAATAGCCTCAACTACAGCCTATCCTGAACTTTTCATCCCTTTACATTTTGATTTATAAGAGTACTAACAGTACAAGCATACTTGTCAGCTTTCTGTCAGAAGGTTCCTGAGAAGCTATTTATGGCAACATTCTTATCTCAGATTCATCTACCCGCACTCTTCTTTCTCCCCTGTTTCTGATCTTCCACCTACGTATTAATTATTATCAACAGAATTGTTCAACTATACTGATTTTATCACTACTGTTCCTCCCTTCAGGCTCTGCTTTTATCCCTCCCCTTACTTTATGTTTGTTTATCTCACTTTCATCACAATGTCTGTTTGCGTAACTTCAGTTAATCTACTCCTACACTCCCTTTCCCAAGACCACAACACTCTATCTCAGTTTTGTATCTCCTTTCTCTCTCAACTTGTACTTCATCACCCATTGACTCCACCTCTCAATCACTACTCTGTTTAACCTTTGTATCACCCATTTTTTCCCATGTCTGGCTCACTCCCAGTACCCTTCCCCTGCTTCTTCATGCAGAACCAACAGACCAACACAGAGCATGAAGCAATGGGAGTGCTCTGCAACTAGCTAGTCTTTCCATCACAGTGCTCAGTGACCGTCAAGTTACGAAAGAAAATTCCAGTGAGCAATGTTCCCTGGGCTTTAAAGAAACTAATTATACCAACTTAATTATCAGCAAAACATACCTAAAGGGCACAACCTCTTTTTTTGGCACCAAGATTTCCTCATTTCACTTCTCACATGCTGAAGTTCACCAGAAAAGAACAAGGATTCCATGTCTGCTGTTGCACTTTTGGACAACTTCTGACTCTGCTCTGAGCTCCAGGAGAGCAGTCTCCCCCTCCAGTGCAGCCCCAGCCCTCCTAAAGCTTCTGCAGGCTCTCTGCATATTAGCAGAGAATGTATAAGATGACCAAAATTTTGGAATGTATACCAATTAAAAAAATCCAGTTGATGTAACAGAAGATAAAAATGTTAATATTGAAACCATCAATAAATATATGTTTACCAGTGCTTTCATTACTAAATGATTATATAAAGCACAGTGCAACTCAAAGAATTTGAGAAAATAAAAATATTCTTCAATAGCCAACCATAAGCATAGCAGCTGTGAGGCCTATATAAGAATATGAGAGAGAATCTTAATTTGAAAATCTGTGGAAGACTGTATTTTCACTAGCTCGAATATTTAATATAAACACCAGCAGCTTTGTGTGAAGTACCCTCACAATAAAAATATCTTAAAGCTGAAGGGAAGAGGCTGTTTTGACCTCTAATTGACTTAAAATATATACTTGACCTTCTTGAAGCTCTGGAATGAAAATATTTTTGTATTTAAGTGTCCAGCATCGATGCTTTCTTTGGATCAAAGTTTCACCCTAATCCTTGATGGACCTCTACCTTCAACAGAAAAAGCTTCAAAGTCCTGTTCTTCCATTCCAGCCAAAAATAAACTATATTTTAAAAACTGACAACTTACAGATCAGACAAACCCAGATGGTGAAAAGGCTTCTTGGACAAACTTGAGAGGTTGTTTCTGGATAAATTACTATGGGAAAAGAGAAGGAGTACATTAATTAGAATTGTTTCTTCTTACACTGAAAATACAGTTTGCGTCTCTCAAAAAAAATAATTAAGAACTCGATAATTAAGAGCTCTGAAAGTCCTTTGACTTCAGTTATAAAAAGACAGTGTTCAGTATTACTTCATGGTTTGAAGGGTTTCAAGGGTTTGAATCCAGAATGCACCTAAAGTCAAATACATTCAAAATCAAACTCAACAGGTATCAATATTTTCACTTTTAGCACTTTGTTCATTGCAGAAAAGCAGCAGATTTAACTGTGTTTCAAAAGTATTTTGTAAAGTCCACGTGTTAATTACATGCTCAATTTAATTCATGTGAAATGGGTGTATTCCATTCTTTGATGCTGCACCAAACTCTGCACTCACATAAGCCCTCCTCACATGCTAGCACACATCCGTATCAGAGCCTTTTAGTTGTTATTTTCAAACTGCATATACGATATGCACACACATGGAAGATCAAAAGAAAACTGTAAAATGCATGTATTGGGCTTTTTTATGTCAATTAAGCATTTACGGTTTCCAGTGGTAATTTAGTGAAAGGTCCTCTACTATTCCGCAAAGAAATGCTGATCTGAACCAGAAATACTCTTCCTCTCATAGGCTTACAAAATTGCTTTCTCTACCCCAAAGCAAAATAATGCTAGTTTTTCTACAGTCTTATCGGTCTACGAATTAGAGATAGCAAGAGCAGTAAACTGTGTAACTGCCAGCAGTGAAGTACAAATCAGAGTTATGAGCCAAAATACCATGAGTTTTATGTGGTATTATAAAGGCGCCGTAAAGGCTCCACACTTAAAAGTTGCATTGCATTTAAAACTAGGGATTAATTATTATTTTTTTTAACCTGACTAAAGAACACAGTGTTTACTTCCCAACTTTCAGTCCTTGATCTCTGAGTACAAGATAACTTTCACAGAAATTACAAGTTGGATTCTCTACAAATGTTTATAAGAGAATCTTTAAGAGATTATTTTAAGAGATTTACTACATTTCATCATATATTCCTTCTGGCAAACAACACCCTGAAGTTTACAAACTGACTGGTCCTTACGTGTGAGAACGAAACAAATGAGGTATTATTTCATTAGTCAGAGGAACTAGTCTGCCTATGGCAGATGCTGGTGGAAATGCTTCGTGGACCTGATTGGATATAGCAACATTAAAGCACAATTTGCATATAGAACAGAAGTCATGTTTAAACAAAAATTGTCACTATGTTTTTTTTTCCTAATATGTATATGCTCTGTGTTGGGAGGTTGAATAAAGGAAGTTTGATCCTCCTGTCAGCTTGGGCTTTTGCCTCCTGTGTTGAGGCACATCAAACGCCCTCCCTCCATAGGAAACTCTACACTCACCATGCAAGAGAATCCTTCCAGTTTTGACATTGACAAGCAGCACATGCAGATGGCCCTGTGGTATTACCAAACAAGGTATACACCTGCATCTCTTACCTGCACAGCAACTACCTTTTCCTAAAGATAACCAGATATATACAGTGGGCTTTACTTGCAGACCACTGTTATGAATTTATCACCTTAAACAATACTTGGACAGTAAATTTAAATTATATTTTTTCATAAAGTGAGCACTCTATATTGACTACAGGGATGCCTGCTGCAGTCTTTTTAATTCATGTTAAGTGAAAAAATCACTGCCAGGCTTCTTTTGAAGATGTTAAGGACCACACTTCCACTTTCATGAAAAGAGAATAAGAATTAGTTCCCCAATTTAACTATATATAAAAAGATCATGGTGAACAGCCCAAAGAAGATCCATCTGGGGTTCTAAAGACTTTTTTAATTATGGGGGGAAAAAAAAGTCAAGGGTACAGAGCCTGGCTCCAAAGCTTTACCCGCAGACAAGACCCAAATTCAGTTAAAAGCATGCCTGTATTTTACATGCAAATATCAAGCTCACTTTAAACTTGCTAGCCCTAATTCAACTAAAAGCAAACCTGTGGCAATCTGAGGAGACCAAAAGCAGACCAGGAAGCTGCATAAAAATTCACAGAGCTTGCAAGATGGGCATCGTTCTACCACCTACAGTGCTTCTGGCAAGGGGAAGCAAGAAAGAAGGAGAGGGAATAGATCTAAGGAGAACTGGGGGAAAGAGGTGAAGAAAAGGCCATTTTGCTACACTCAGTCTTCCTGCACAGGCAACTGCTTGTTCTGCCTATGAGCCGGCCCTATGTGCAGCAAGGTACATCTCAAATTGTTTCATTTGGCTGTCTTGCCTAAACCTGAACGGTGTTGAGATACAAACTCATCTTAATACCTAGAGCTGTATATATACTACACTCACAAATCTATGATTCAGCAACACAGTTAGATGCAGCCTGGCATGTAACAACAGCTATTTTTTAAAGTTTTTGGAAATCTCGGCTCCCTGTAAAATGTGTTTTAATATTTAAAGACACTGACAATATACCATGCATATGTATTACACATTTCCAACAAATTACTGTTAGCAGCAGATAAGTTTATAAACTACAGCACTACTAAAATGCAACTATTGGCTAATTTGAGTCTAAGGTCAATGAAAACACCAGAATTAGATGAGCAAAGCTATTAATTACACTTAAGTAGTGTCCATAAGGGTATTTATTTTCCTGTTGTTTATGTTATTACACAAATCTTTCCATCATACATAACGCTAGAAAGATACTTGGGCTACATAAGTTTCACCAAGAAAATAAGGTAAGGACCAAAAAGGGCTTAAAGAAATGTGTGTTAACAAGTTTATTTTAAACTGATATTGTTGTATGATTCATAAAATAAATACTATTTTCATATAATGAGAGCCCTTTAACTGCATTAAAAGATTTTTCATAGAAGAAAAAGAAAGCTGTAATAGTATCATAGTAAAATTAAAGCTTATACAGTTACATCAGTCTTCAGAAAAGTGTTTGGAGCTTTCATTGGGATAGTAACAAATTTGTTTCAAAATAAAATGTAAGACTTTTCAAAGACCTGTACTCAGAATTTACTCTTGAAAAGTGAAATTATTTCAGCTCTTAATAGTTTTCACTGTCCCAAACATAACAGGACCTATATCTCATTCCTAGTGCAGTCAACAGGATTGTTATTGCTGATGACAACAAACCATGATTCACTGGGGGTTTCAGAAACATTTTGATGCACACAAAGACTTTCCAGAGAAAACAAACAAATGCATTTTGCAGGGATAACAGATGAGCCTCGGTAAAAAATACCTCCATACTTACTGCTTTGTTCTATGCATCTAGAGCAGCGGGTGACACTTAATATTTTCCATCTTATCTGGGTTTATCCTGTCTCTGGTAACATTACTAAATCCCCACCAAAAGAAAACACAGTACGATACTGGATAAGCTTAGGGTGCATAATGTAAGTATTCTGAATCAAGCATCCATGTCCATCAACTGAACAGATGTCAAGTCAGTCTAAATTGTTTCTAACAAGGAGCTTCATGAACTTCAGCTCTAGCAAAGCCTGCTTACCAACAGATATGCATTCCCCATTTGACTGCATGCTCCATTTGAAGCTCTTCCTATGGCTGAAGTATTTTAAGGGCATCTCATCCAAGTGGGTTCTGTAAAGCCTAGCAGGTCATATATACACAATGATACTTTTTCCTTAAATGGTAACTTTAATAGGGTGTCCCTCTTCTGCTTAAATGGTCAGATTCCTGAAAATGTGTTTACCTGTTCAAGTTTTGGTTAGAAGCAACCACTGGGGTCAGAGACACTTTATGACTGCATGAAATCCATTTTCTTAAAGCAACAGGTAAAAAAAGCCTCTCAAGAGGATCCCATCAATTTTCTCACCTTTTGCAGTGCCTATTTGCCCAGACAGCTGGGAAGGTCTTCCAAATATCTGTCTACCTTGCTCCAAACTAAACTCATTATTTCTCACTCTGCACTCATAGTCGTGGAGAGAACAGATTGCTTTCCTCATCATAATTACTCTTCTTTTAAAGCAAAGATGATCATAGAAGCCACAGAATCATAGAATAATTTGGGTTGGAAGAGACCTTTAAAAGTCATGTAGTCCAATCCCACAGCAACAAGCAGGGACAATATCAAATAGACCAGGTTGCTCAGAGCCCTATCCAACCTTGAATGTTTCCAAGACTGAGGCGTCCCCCACCTCTATGGTAACCTATGTCAGTGTTTCACTACCCTCATTGTAAAAAACTTCTTTCTTATACCTAATCTAAATCAACCCTCTTTCAGTTTCAAAACATTATTCCTTGTCCTATTGCAGTGATGTTCCTTTTTAGTCTTCTCTTTATTGCACTGAACAGACTCAGGCTCTAAGTTTCCTTACATTATTTGCCTTATAAGCTCCTTATAGCTCTGTTGCTCTTCTATCCTGGAAGATGAGTAGATTCAGTGTCCTAATCACTATATAGTATTTTGACAGATTCCTTCCCAGCCACTAAAGTAATGGGAAAAAAAGGTAAAAATGTAACACAAAATTCCTTTTGATTCCTGACTTGGATTTGCTTTGTTCTGAGATTCTGTCCCAGCAGAGTCACTAAGTCTTTCTCTGCAAATCTGTCTCTTAGATGGTACGTTCCTATTGTGTATTTCTACTGGTATTGTGTACTTCCACAGCCAGTGCAAATGGAATTTCATATTTTATAACCATAATTCACTGAGCAATTTTTATACAGGTAAACACACAAATTTACTACAGAAGATTATTCCCTTATGGTACTGTTATTGTTTACTTTGGCTGAACAACCACATATCCAATGGGCCTGTGCCCGAGTCCCTCCGGAGGGAATGGAGGGAGGGGGGAAAAGAGGGAAGGGAAAAACTACTAGATCGAAGCTGCTAAGAAAGATTATTTATATTTACACAAAGATAGAAAACACTATAAGCAATATGCATACAGAGAAGAACTAAAACTAAAGATACTTCCCCACAACCAACGATCTCCTCTCCTGATGGAACTGCCCGACCGCTCCACACAGCTACCCCAGAAGAGAAGAGAGCGAGCTACCTCTTCCTCCTCTTTTTATGTTTTAGCTGACGTAACATGGTATGGAATATCTTCCTGTTCGAGTCAGGTGACTTATCCTAGTTTCCTCCCAGAAAAAAAAATGTTATTTAGCTACACAAACCCACTACAGGTACCAACTGATTACCTGTTTTATTAATGACTATCTGAAGTAATATGTAAGTCTCACAGGCTCAGAAGATCTGGTTCACACTCCTCCAGTGACTGTTCCACATTAGGGACAGCACTTAATGTTTAGGTAGAAATGAAGATCCATGTCCACTTCCTTACATGAACTAATTGCCATTCTTTGGAAAACAGAGCTCAGAAAGTGATTTCATCTCATAAGCAAAACAATCAACCCTGTTCTCTGTCCAGCAGTTCTTCCCTATTACAAAGAAATATCTTAGAAACTCAAGGTTTGGTAAAATGTCTTCCCGATCTCATTAGGATAAAAGCAAAAAAGTCATACTAAAAAGAGAACTTCAATCAGTTCAGCCTTTGCTAAATCTAAAGCATAAGAAATCTAGAAAAACACAGTCAAAAAGCTGCACGGGTATCAATTCTGAAGTCCATGATCTACAAATTGCATTTGGGTGTGAAAGCAACTTCATTCCTATGTTTTGCTTTGGGTGCATTAGTTTAGCGTGTGAACTTTCAAAGTAAGTCTTCGGTCACTCCCAGGACTTCAGTTCACAGTCATGTCACAGTCTCTGGGCATGTGTACTGGTCAAATTATAGTAGATGTGTTTCATGTATGCACCTAATGCACTGCAGCTGCTCTTGGGAATGGGTGCATGGCCAGCAGTTGGACTCAGTGATCCTTATAGGTCTCTTCCAACTTGGCATATACCGTAATTTTGTGAAAACATGTTCCGCCCATCGAATCAGACTACAGCTAGTCAAACCCATGTCACTGAGTGTGATGCACAGTGGGAACATCATATGCTCAAGAGAGGCATTCTTTGTGCTACACTGCTTACCACAAAAGATACAGCCAAAGTCTGTTGTAAAAGACCGGATAATGAAATACATGGTCTTTTTACCATCCCACATTGTGTTCTTATGATCTGCCAGTTCCTTACCAGACATACCTTATTTAAAGTCAATTAATGACAGAAGAACATTATAAGTCTGACTTATTATTAAAGTATTTTTTTATTAAGGAAATGGTAAGAGACAGAAATAAATTAACAATCAATAAATCAACATGAGTTAGACAGTTTTAACTTAGAAGACAGACATTATTCTTACTCACATGTATTGTAGGTTCACATTTTTCACAAATGCCTGACGGGACACGAATCTTAAGCCTGAATCCACCACAGTCCTGGGAAAACAAATAAAACTGTTGTAATATTTATGTTTCATTTAAAATATAATGGAAAGCATAATGATAATAAAGGTTAAAATAAGAGTCTGGGTGAAATTTCAACAAGGTTCAAGTGCAAGATTTACAATTTTTCTCACTAACACAAAAAGTGAGGTCTACACTTTGATAATGTCTCCATATGCTTCTATGAAAGAAATAGAAAAAAAAGATAGCTTTATAAGATAAGTATCTCCTACTCACAGATTTTTAAGTCCAACATAGTATCCAACCTCATTGTCATTGATACTTTTTAAGTTTTCTTGATTTGCGATGTAACTGTTGAAAAAGCAAGACAGAAAAAAGTATGTAAGTGGACCCTTCCAGGGCTTTGAGTGTTCAGAGATCATGCACTGATGTATGAAAGTCAGTAGTGATTGCTGACCTACTGCAATTAGAAGTAAGTCCTACTCAGACCATATGCAAAGCAAAAGTGGTCCTTAAAATCTTCCCCATCATTTAAATGGTACTTTGTGGGGCACTGCTGGAAGGGAAAAGTTTAGTTTTACACAGGGGAAATGAAGAAAGGAAATCAACCTGAAAGCCAAATAAAGCTGCATTACAGTGTCACTGTTCTCCAAGACACATGTCCCTTTTGACAACAGCGAAGGGGCCAACTTCAATAGTAGTAGTGGAGTTATCCTCACTTACACTGAGGGAGAATCAAACTGCCCTAGTCTTTTCTCCCATGTTGTTAACTTAATCACTTGCTAAACTTATTTTCTCCCTGACACAAAGTAATTTCAGTTCTTTCTACATGGTGTGGTAATGGCAAAACTGAGGAAAGAGGGGCTGTACTTCATGACGTTACACAGAAAAGCAGAAAATAAGAGAAGACAAACTGCCATATTAGACCAAAGCACTGAGTCCACTCACATAGCATTAGTATCTGCCTGAATCCCAAAAGGATGTGGGTATGTAAGCCGGTCCTTTGTATTATCACCATGTGAGATCTATGAATAACCAGTGACATCCCACAGACCGGAAATTAAAATGTTCACAAATAACGTATCGTTACCTCTTCTGCAGCAAGAAGGAATTTCACAGTGTAAATCATGCAGTCTAGGAAGAAGAAATCGGTGGAAACTGCAATTCTTCTGACATTGTGGACAGAAAAATATGTCTGATTTATAGGATTCCAGATTTTTCAGAAGATAAGCCTAGTCCCAGAAAAACTCAAACAGAGATTGAACTGTATTTTCATGAGCATCCCGAACTAAGCAAAAATGCAGGTTCTCCTAAAAAGGAGGAGTCGTTCTTTGCTAGAAGAAACCTTTTATTCATTCTAAGTACTTTTACTGTGGAAAAAAGGGCTGGCTACTTATGAAGAATTTACGAAGAGAGCTAGGTCATGCAGGAAAAAAATTAGGGAAAGAAAAGTGGAATTTGAAGTTAATTTGGCTAATTCAGTTAGGGATAACAAAAAGTCCTTTTATAAATACATTAATAGCAAAAGAAGGGGCAAGGAAAACCTCAATTCTCTGTTGGACTTGGAGGGAAATATAGTTAACAAAGATAAGGAGAAGGCTGAGGTACTTAACACCTACTTTGCCTCAGTTTTTAGCAGTAAGACAGGTGGCCCTCAGAACAACTGGCCTCTAGAGCAGATAGACAGAGACAGAGAGCGGAATAGCCCTCCTGTATTCCAGGAGGATGTAGTTAGCAACTTACTGAGCCAGCTGGATCCTAACAAGTCTATGGGACCAGACGGGATCCATCCCAGGGTGATGAGGGAGCTGGCAGAAGAGCTTGCCAAACCGCTCTCCATCATCTTCCAACAGTCCTGGCTCTCTGGGAAGGTCCCAGATGATTGGAGGTTGGCGAATGTCACCCCAATCCACAAAAAAGGCTGCAAGCAGGACCCTGGCAACTACAGGCCTGTCAGCCTGACCTCGGTGCCTGGCAGGGTTATGGAGCAGATCATCCTGAGTGCAATCACACAGCACCTTCAGGATGGACAAGGGATTAGACCCAGCCAGCACGGGTTTAGGAGGGGCAGGTCCTGTCTGACCAACCTGATCTCTTTTTACGATCAGGTGACCCACCTGGTGGATGAGGGGAAGGCTGTGGATGTGTCTGTCTAGACTTCAGCAAGGCCTTTGACACTGTCTCCCATAATATACTCCTGGAAAAGCTGGTAGCCCATGGCTTGGACAAGTGTATCCTCTCCTGGATTAGGAGCTGGCTGGAGGGCCGGGCCCAGAGAGTGCTGGTGAATGGAGCTGCATCCAGCTGGCGGCCGGTCACCAGTGGTGTTCCCCAGGGGTCTGTGTTGGGTCCAGTCCTGTTTAATATCTTTATTGATGATTTAGATGAGGGGATTGAGTCCATCATCAGCAAATTTGCTGATGACACCAAACTGGGAGGAAGTGTCGACCTGCTGGAAGGCAGGAGGGCTCTGCAGAGGGATCTGGATAGACTTGAGAGATGGGCTGATTCCAATGGGATGAAGTTCAATAAAGCCAAGTGCCGGGTCCTGCACTTTGGCCACAACAACCCCCTGCAGCGCTACAGGCTGGGCACAGAGTGGCCGGAAAGCAGCCAGGCAGAAAGGGACCTGGGGGTACTAATTGACAGGAAGCTCAACATGAGCCAACAGTGTGCCCAGGTGGCCAAGAAGGCCAATGGGATCTTGTCCTGTATCAAAATAGCGTGGCCAGCAGGAGCAGGGAAGTGATCCTTCCCCTGTACTCTGCGTTGGTGAGGCCACACCTTGAGTATTGTGTTCAGTTCTGGGCCCCTCAGTTCAGAAAGGATATTGAGGTGCTGGAGCGGGTCCAGAGAAGAGCCACAAGGCTGGTGAAGGGACTGGAGCATAAGTCCTATGGGGAGAGGCTGAGGGAGCTGGGGTTGTTTAGCCTGGAGAAGAGGAGGCTCAGAGGTGACCTCATCACCATCTATAACTACCTGAAGGAAAGTTCTAGCCAGGTGGGGGTTGGTCTCTTCTCTCAGGCACTCAGCAATAGGACAAGGGGGCACGGGCTTAAGCTCCGCCAGGGGAAATTTAAGTTGGATATCAGGAGAAAATTCTTTACAGAGAGAGTAATCAGGCATTGGAATGGGCTGCCCAGAGAGGTGGTGGTGGATTCACCATCCCTGGAGATTTTTAAACGCAGATTGGACGTGGCACTGAGTGCCATGATCTAGTAAATGGACTGGATTTGGACCAAGGGTTGGACTCGATGATCTCGGAGGTCTTTTCCAACCCAATCAATTCTATGATTCTATGATTCTATGATTTTTAAAATTTATTTAAAGGGAAATCTGGTGAATTAGAAAGAAGGTGTATTGCTTCCCCAGAGGCCATCCATATACCTTCGCTGGCATGTTAGAGAAATTCACTGTGTTCCCAAATCCAAAGAGAAGCTTGAGAATCCCAAAGTCGAGTTGGGCTCTCCTCCAAAGCCGCAATGCTGACTTGGGCTTTGCTCTTGCCATGCACCAGGAAAAGCAAAAGGTTTCCTCTAATGGCATTCACTGCCCCTTGGGAAGAAGAAGGGCAGTAAAAAGACAATGCATGACACTAGACGGAACACATTACTACAGCATTATATGACAGTGAACTGTTCTTCAGGACTTTTCAGGATAAGATTAACACAGAGTACTCATTAGAAGATAAGAGTCCTTCATATTTTGTGTTTCCTTTCTTGAATTTTTAAGATGAGCTGATTTCCTATCTCGGTGTTTACTAATCTATTTTATTTGTTTGTTGGTTGCTGCATAAGTTTACATATTTTGCCAAGTAAAAACAATGAAATCATACATAAAAATCTATCAATTCTTTCATCTAAGAATCCTGGAAATGAATGATCATACTTCCTCTAAACATGCCCTGAAGAATTCATTATTTAATTACATATGACCTTCTCTGTCACTTGGACCTCATAATGTTAAAATAAAGTTATCAAAGATATCTTCCTCATCTTGTCCTCAGTAACAGGACTAACAGGAATCCTGTCAAGACCAGACAGAGATAGGGAAATCACAAAAGAATGGGAATGTAGGAAAATGGACAGTGAAACACAGAGGGAGAAGAGACTCAGACCTAAAGAAAATAAACAGAGGAATCAGTTGTACGAGCTAAAGATTAAGCCATCAAAAAAATATCTCTGACAAACACTGCCAAAATGTAGACCCATCACTTAAACACACATATCACCCATCCAAATCTGACATTCCAATTTTAATCATACAAATACTTAATCATTAACACTCACTAAAGAAGCTGCAGAACTTGACATAACTTACAATGTTGTACAGAAATATGTCAGTGTACTACATCCTGTATTAAGACTCAGTGTAAAACAGCTCAGCTCTGCTGAAGCCAATGAAGCTACCACAATTTACATCGAACAAAGATCTGAGTATGAGCACACAATCTATATAAAAGATCAGTGTTAGTCCATTAGGGAATAGACCAAAAGGACAACATTTGGGAAGAAGTGGCATGAATTTATGGTACCTTTTTTCCTTCTCTTATTGCATTCCCTAAAAGAAATCAGAGCAGATTCTCTAAGATGAATGATTTACAATTCCAGTTCCTAACTGAGAGAACCAAAAGAAACCACTGATTTTCCACAACAATACTTTGAATAGGGACACAGAAGAATTTCTGCCTAAGTGCAACTAACTCAATAACTGCTCTACAATACACTTGTAAAAACAACCTCAGTACAGAACAGGACAGTAAAGCAAATTTCATGCAGTTGGAAATCCTGCAAGAAGGAGTGGACAGATGTAATTTACCATAAGGAGGTCATGTCCCCTCACGCTTCCTTACTCGCTTAACAAGTCTGCTTTAAGTTAAGCCTCTGCAGCTATGTCATAGCAGTGAGAAAGAAAGGAGTAGAATGATGTAGCTGTACACTGTAAGGGGAAGTTGTTCTTCTGTTTAATTTAGAGGGAGACCTGAAATAAAACCTCTCCCTTTCTGAAGTCTATTTTTACCTTCTTCACAACTACTCTACCTTAATGTTACTTATCATCAAACATTAATACTCTAAGAGCTTTGACTTGCAGTGGGCGATGCCAAGAAATGTAATTTGCCTGCCTGCCCTTAAGAACATCCACCCTATTCTTTAACTGAAGATTTTTATTGTAGCACAGAAGAAAAACATACTGACTCACAGATGGCTGAAGTCACATGGAGAGCTTGGAAGCTCCCACTGCACACCACAGCAGAGCGTAGCACCGCCAAAACCTGGCTGGATAGTACCCAGACAGATCACACATATCAGATCACAAATACTGACTGCTGCCTCTAAACCAAATCTGCAGCT